AAAAACAGGCCATAATATTTTGTTGGGATTCATTCTGCAAAGAAACAGAAACTTTTGAGAAACATGCACAACTAGTGACAAAATCAGGGATTGTTGTGCGTGATGTAGAAATATGTTTTGTATGTGTTTAAAGTACTGTTTTGTTTCTGTTTCTGTTTGAATGAGAGGGGGTGTTGGGATTCATTCTGCAAAGAAACAGTAAATATGTTTGTACCTTTAAGAACTGTTTCTGTAAGCTTTGGGCTGATTGGGTACAGCTGACCATGACTACAAAAGGAGGAAAAGTTGCAGTTTGACTTTGCCTGCAGGAAAAACACCCACAAGCTTTTTTGTTTGTTGTTTTGTGATAAAACCTTTATTTGATTTGGTTTTACACCGGTCTCATGGTGTCATAGCTTCTATCATCTGCCACCAGCGGAAAAAACCCCTCCAACATATTTGTGATATTGGCCATGCAAAAATTTAGTTGGAGGGAGAGACCAGAGATGGGGCCGCAGACCCCCTGGGTGCGTTTCATGGATTCCTAATTGGGAACCACTACCCTACAGCTGGGACGCGGGTGGCACTGTGGGGTAAACCACAGAGCCTAAGGCTTGCCGATCAGAAGGTTGGCGGTTCGAATCCCTGCGACAGGGTGAGCTCCTGTTGCTCGGTCCCTGCTCCTGCCAACCTAGCAGTTCAAAAGCACGTCAAAGTGCAAGTAGATAAATAGGTACCACTCCAGTGGGAAGGAAAACGGCGTTTCTGTGCGCTGCTCTGGTTCGCCAGAAGCGGCTTAATCATGCTGGCCACATGACCCGGAAGCTGTACGCCGGCTCCCTCGGCCAATAAAGCAAGATGAGCGCCGCAACCCCAGAATCGTCCACGACTAGACCTAATGATCAGGGGTCCCTTTACCTTTACCTTACCCTACAGCTTATGAGAGCGCTGGAACGAGGAATGAAGACCAGGAGCCTAGATTTCTGCCCCTGGTGATGGTCAGCCTCTCTTATTCCTACTGTGCCGCCCCCTGCATTTGATGTATGCAGGGGGGGGGAGAGACCTGAACTCCCCCTTCATGCACTTAGGGGTCAGCTTCAAGCTGTTCCTTAAATCTAGAGCCTGAGGGTTTTCCTCAAGAGGACAGGCCTTTGGAGTTGGGCGAGGAAGGTGGAAACACGAGCTGCTCCGGCACCAGCCGGGAACGCCGGCCAAACAAAACGAGTGCCGAAGGATTTCCAAGAGCAGCGTTAGGAGCAAAGTACATGCTGTTCTTGCTGGGCCGTCTGCTGTTACGTCACTCTGATCGCTCATGATTTGGAAGGCTGGAGATGTGGGCACAAAACGGGGGGTGGGGGTGGGACAAAAAAAAACAAGGATGCAAGGGACGGGCGTGTCCGTGTGGATTTTCTGCTGAACAATTTGTTTTGTTTTTACAATTCTTTAGTTTGGGTTTTGTATATATATATATATATCTAAAACCGAGGGAGAAATTATTCATGCCTCATCATGCTCCGTCTCCAAAACTCTGCCAGATTTATGTGCTGGCAGCGGAAGGAGGAAGTTTCCTTTGGAAATTACGTTTGCCCTGAATTCCATAACCAAACCAGATGGATCCTGCAGCTCCCATGCACTTAGGAGCAGAGGAAGCAGCCTTAGACTGACTCAAGAACTATTGGTCCACCTAGGTTAGGACTGTCCGCTCTGACAGGCAGCAGCACTCCAGGGTTTCATGCAGGGCACTCTCTGGAAATGGCAGGGATTGAACCTGGGATTTTCTGCTTGCAAGATGGGTGGTCCTTAGAGACCCCTCTGCTTGCTGGCAGAAGTGAGGACGGGAGTGACAGGAGATGGGAGAGCTCAACTAGAAAGCTCTGTCTCCAGAACTCCCACCCCAGGGAGGCTTGCTGTTTTTGTTTGGGTGCCTGGTGAAGAAGACCTTATCATTCATCTAGGTCAGTTCCAGGGAACGTTTGACTCTCTAGATATTGCTGAACTACAACTCCCATCAGCCCCAGCAAGCATGAATTTTTTTTTTTACATTTCCCAGCAAGTTCTTTTAGTCTTTCCACTTGCAACTCTGGGCTTGAGGCACCCAAACAGGATTAAGAGCGGAACACCGGCTTAGCCGATTCTCTGTCACTCAAAATCCCTGCCAGGGGCCTCCTCTGTCTTCACAATGCCACCAGACGTGCATGAAAAAATCTCCTCCTTTTACATACTGCATATGACATCTTCGGATGCTTTCGAGTTGCATCGAAAACAAAGCAAAAAATATATATGTCTGATTTATCAATGAGGGACAAGAAGCCAAATCAAAACACTCTGTGAGAAAACCTCACTCTCTCTTTGTTTCTCTTTGAGCTGGAAATGAAAAAAAAAAAAAACGGGCTTCATTTCACGCTAGAGAAGTCTTTCAAGGCAAAGGATTTATTCTTGATGCTCCCCCCCCCAGCACCAAATGAAGGATGTTCCTGGAAAGGGGGCGGGGGGGGGAGATGCCTCCAGTTTATTAAATTAGATGAAATCATCAAGTTTCCAGCAGAAGTTACATGTACAGGGAGAAGTCTGTTGCCCTAAATGGTGGAAAACCTGGATCGGTTTCTGTGAAACAGCCGGAGGCTTGTATCACATAATCTCTCCCAATGCTAATCAGATATTTCAGGCTCATCCTCCCCAACAAAAGCTCAACAATTCTGGTCAATCCAATGGGTAAGATCACTGCCAGTTGAACAGGCGGGGATGTTGCAAAAGCAGTTGTCTTTTTGAGAGCCTTGTAGGAGGGCCAGGGTAGCAATTGCTTCCTTTCTGTAAGGAAGCGTTAGGAAAAAGTCCTGCCAAAAGAACATGGGGAAAGGAGGAATGGAGGAATTTGGGAGCAGGATACTGGTCTCGATGGAACTTGCTTGCTTGGAAATGTTTTCCACCACTGTCCCGGAGCTCACCAGAGATCGAACCCAGGACGTTTGACATGCAAATAACGCATTGTAGGAATGGCTATTCCTCGGACTCTCTTTTGTGCAAAACTGATATTGCACTCTTTTGTGCAAAACTGATATTGCACAGTTGGAATTTCTGTTTTCTGGGGCTGGGGGTGGGGGGAATTGCCTACTGTCATAAGGACTAGACACTTGGCTTTTCTTTAAAAAGTGCAACTAGGGCGGGCGAAAGGCTGTTGTTATTCATGGGCCAGTCCCTCTGCTGTGGGCGCATCATGCCATGAAGACATGTTGCATTATATTTCATTTCTGCTTCCTGCAAACCCCTGGACGGTCTCTCCCGCATATACATTGGGTGTGTTTATTTAAAGAAAGTGTCTCGCGCTCACAGGGCTGTGTAACGGCACACTTTAATTGGTACCTTTCGTTTATCCGCCCCCGAGCTGGATAATCCGTCAAAGCACTTGACTAATTTTAATTGGCAAAGGGAGCGGGAGGAAGAAAAAGTTGATAGGAGGGTCTGCAAGCTTTGGAACACACCGGCTTGGTTTCTTTGAAGTCGTTTCGGTTTCTCTGTGCTACTGTTAGGGGGAGAACGTTGCATCTTTGATATATCCTTTCTGTTCCCTCCTAGGAGGAGGAGCAGCTTTTGCTTGTTAAAAACGGTGAATTATGCTTCCTTCGGTATCTCAAGAACTCACCTGTATGGAGGTTTTTCATTCACGTTCATCCAGCCAGCTTAAAGGCAAATGATTAAACAACTGGCAACTCTTTGCTGACGTCCCTGTAACTCTTTGGCACTGAAATTTGATCCTACCCTGGCACGATAACATTATTCAGGGAAGTTATTTTGGAGAGGTTCATAAGGCACAGGACTCCAAACTAGGGACTCCGCCAGCCAGATTCAGGGGCATTGCTATTTACGTTGCTCTGCTAATTTGCCACCAGAGGGCGCTGCTGGACATCTCCCCTGCCCCTCAGCGCCCTATGGTGGCCAGAGGGTAGTATTGCAGCTTCCAGCTCAGCAAGGACCAGCAGGAGAACTACGTGGACTTGTGAGGTGGCAGGGTCTCCTTCCTTGGAGGTATTTAAGCCGGTGTCAGTTAAGCTGCTGTGGGTTAAACCACAGTGCCTAGGACTTGCCAATCAGAAGGTCGGCGGTTCGAATCCCCGCAGCGGGGTGAGCTCCCGTTGCTCGGTCCCTGCTCCTGCCCACCTAGCAGTTCGAAAGCATGTCAAAGTGCAAGTAGATAAATAGGTACCACTCTGATGGGAATGTAAACAGTGTTTCCGTGCGCTGCTCTGGTTCGCCATAAGTGGCTTAGTCATGCTGGCCACATGACCCGGAAGCTATACGCCGGCTCCCTCGGCCAATAAAGCGAGATGAGTGCCGCAACCCCAGAGTCGGCCGCGACTGGACCTAATGGTCAGGGGTCCCTTTACCTTTACCAGGTGGCCATTTGTCATGTATGATCTAGCTGAGATTCTGGCATTGCAGAGGGCGGGACTAGATGCCCCTTGGGATCCCTTCCAACTCTACGATACGAGGGCATGATGGATCCCCAGAGAATGCTTGCATTTCCTCCTTTCCCTTTTGGAAAGCCGCATATAGGGAAAGAGATCGGCTGGAGACAGTCTCAGCCGAGACATTCCTGCTGCTTTGGGAATTATGCAAGGGCGTCCAGAAGCCCAAAGGAAGGAGACTGCTTTGGGCTTTGGAAACAGAATTGCCAGCCGTCATAAGGAAACAAGAGGAGCCTGCAGGATCAGGCCCGCAGACAGGATTCGAACACAAGAGCCCTCTCCCCTCCTGCTGTTTCCAGCAACTGCTGTTCAGAAGCATTTCTGCCTCTGAATGTGGAAGCATAGCGCAGTCCTTGTGGCTGGGAGCCATCGATCTCCCTCTCCTTTGTCCAATCCTCTTCTTAAAGAGGCTGATTCCTTTCTTTCCCCTGCTGTTCCTTCCCTCCCTCTTCCTCGCTTGAATTAAAAAACGAGGGTGAATTAAAAGCAATGAACGCTGAGGGCTGGAATGTTACTGGCACCGTTTTAATACTAACAGTAATCCCTTTTTATTTTAAGGTGCAGATGTTCGCCTCGTGAGGATGCCATGTGCCAAAAGAAGCAACGCTGCGAAGAAGCCAGCTGCTACCGAGAAAGATGGGGGGGGGGTTTCCCTCCCTTCTTGGGGATCTTCTGCGTGGGATTCGTTTCAGGAGGTTCACTGGTCACAGCAGCCCTTGCCAAGCGGACGCGCTCCAGATGTTTGGACTCCAGTTCACATCAGCCCCAGCCGGGAAGGCAGGTTGGCAAAAGCTGTGTGATTAGGGTGTTGAAGAGACCCTGAATTTGGGTGTGAGTAGGGGGTGAGGGAGTAGGTCCATATAGTTAAAGCCATGGTTTTCCCAGTAGTAATGTATGGAAGTGAGAGCTGGACCATAAAGAAGGCTGATTGCCGAAGAATGGATGCTTTTGAATTCTGGTGCTGGAGGAGACTCTTGAGAGTCCCATGGACTGCAAGAAGATCCATTCTTCAGGAAATCAGCCCTGAGTGCTCACTGGAAGGACAGATCCTGAAGCTGAGACTCCAATACTTTGGCCACCTCATGAGAAGAGAAGACTCCCTGGAAAAGACCCTGATGTTGGGAAAGATGGAGGGCACAAGGAGAAGGGGACAGCAGATGACGAGATGGTTGGACAGTGCTCTCGAAGCTACCAGCATGAGTTTGACCAAACTGCGGGAGGCAGTGGAAAACAGGAGTGTCTGGCGTGCTCTGGTCCATTGGGTCACGAAGAGTCGGACACGACTAAACAACAGGGGGAGAGAGAGAGGATGTAGACTGTGGTTCAGGGAGAAACTTGGCTGAGGACTAGCAAACGGCAGGCTGATACCCCAAGGATTTGGCCTCAGACCTGCAACGCAGGGAGAATGCGAACTTAACTTGGAGGCTTCTCTTGAGGCGAGAAAGTGACTTGGTTGGATGACTTCATGGACTCAGAACTGTAGAGTTGGATGGGACCCCAAGAGTCATCTAGTCTAACCCCCCCCCCCCCCCCGCAATGCAGGAATCGCAACTAAATACAGTGGTACCTCGGGTTAAGTACTTAATTCGTTCTAAAGGTCCGTTCTTCACCTGAAACTGTTCTTAACCTGAAGCACCACTTTAGCTAATGGGGCCTCCTGCTGCCGCCGCACCGCCGGAGCACGATTTCTGTTCTCATCCTGAAGCAAAGTTCTTAACCTGAAGCACTATTTCTGGGTTAGCGGAGTCTTTAACCTGAAGCATATGTAACCTGAGGTACCACTGTAATCCCTGACAGGTGGCCATTCAAAACCTCTGTTTAAAAATCTGATCCGCTCGTTTGTTTTGATGTAGGAATCGCTTTGGTTGAACCATCCCAAAGCAATTTTAACAATACAGAACATATTTGAAAACAGTTTCGGAGCCAGTACACTGGTACCTCGGGTTAAGAACTTAATTCATTCCGGAGGTCCGTTCTTAACCTGAAACTGTTCTTAAGCTGAAGCACCACTTTAGCTAATGGGGCCTCCCGCTGCCGCCACATGATTTCTGTTCTCATCCTGAAGCAAAGTTCTTATCCCTAGGTATTATTTCTGGGTTAGCAGAGTCTGTAACCTGAAGCATCTGTAACCTGAGGTACCACTGTATAGAAACAGACTGAGGCAAGAATCTCCACTTTAAAAGCTGGAGATCACAGGCATTATAGTCCATCAAGGGGCAATTGTGGCTCATCGGCCTGGGAAAGTAGCCCATCTAGGAGAAGGAAGACTCTGACCCTAAACCTCTGCTGCCTTGTGGGGTATCTTTGGGAGAAGACAAGGCTAAGGGGGGGGGAACCCTACACAACTCCGAAGTGGAATCCCTAAGACGGTCGGATGACGCCCTGTACGCCTCCTTCCGGCAATTTCTGCAGCCAAGCTGGTGCTAAACGTCTTGCTCTGCTTTCCACATCAGCAAGGCTGAGAGAGGAGCGTCTTTTTGACTGGGCAGCCCAGGACCTCCACACACGCTGCCCAGGTTGGCTCCCCAGGAAGGTCACTTTGGCGCTGCTAACGCAGTGGTTGGCTTCACCCCCAGAGCTTAACTCCATTGCCTCTCAAGACAGATGGATGCTAATAAGTCCGTCAACATCTGGAGGGTCAAAGGCTTCTCCCTTCCCCAGTGTAGCACAGAGGTTGCAGGAGACCACCCTGCAATCTGCAGACCACATTTGCACATGCACCAGCCCAGGGGTGGGGGAAGCGGGGGGAGGGGGAGGAAAGGAACTACGCTCATATTTTTATAGCGCCTCCCTCCAGAAGCACTTCTTCCCCTTCGAGAAACCTCTCCGAGAGACTGCCAGTTCGGAGCCTTTGTGATTAATCCCGGAGTCACGCTTCCAGAATGCGCACACAGTTGTCCTTTTCACCAGCCAGAGTGAGATGATGGATTGCTTCTCGTTTAGAACTTCCAACCGCAGGAATTTGGTTTTCTCAGGGAGGAAGGAGAAGTGCCCAGCTGTGGAGAGGAGGCTTTGAATTTCCTCTGCTGCCCTTTACGTGTTGGGAGATAAAGGAGCCAAAATGGGAGTTAAGAGCCGTGGCGACACGTGCAAACCAATACCCAGAAGATGTCAAAGCTGGGTTGTTTTGATACTGGAAGGAGTTTTGGCCTGGGTCGAGGTGATGCCTTCCCTTCACCTGTTAACAAGAAAACACAGAGTTGAAAGTTTTCCAGCTTGGTAAAGGGTAAAGGGACCCCTGACCATTAGGTCCAGTCGCGGACGACTCTGGGGTTGTGGCGCTCATCTCGTTTTACTGGCCGAGGGAGCCAGCGTACAGCTTCCGGGTCATGTGACCAGCATGACTAAGCCGCTTCTGGCGAACCAGAACAGTGCACGGAAACGCTGTTTACCTTCCCGCCGGAGTGGTACCTATTTATCTACTTGCACTTTGACGTGCTTTTGAACTGCTAAGTTGGCAGGAGCTGGTCCCGAGCAACGGGAGCTCACCCCGTCATGGGGATTCGAACCGCCAACCTTCTGATTGGCAAGTCCTAGGCTCTGTGATTTAACCCACAGCGCCACCCACGTCCCTTGGTAGCTAAGGGCTATTAGCCTATCCTGGAGCTCGCAGATCTGACTTCCTTCTTCTCCAAAGGTCGGCTGTCATAGCTTTCACACCCAAGAAGGGTCTTCCAGTGTCAACTTTATTTGTCACATACAGTTGTCAGAATGGGCAAATCGGTCTCTCCCTTTCTCATTTTCCCATCCTTCGGTTTAGCTCTCCGCCCTTCTACGTCAGACAACCTCGTGAAAATGTGCCACCCAATTTATAATACGCACCTTTGGAAAATGCGGTTTCCCATAATACAATGCATTTGTGTGTGTGCACGCACATACGCTATTTTCACTGATATATATACATACTTTGCCCAAGTGTGTGCATTTTTGTACATGTGACTTGGCCGGGAGAACTGTATTTCAAAACTCGGGGAAGTTCTGACATTCCAAATCTTCACATCTTCGTTTCTGGAAGTCTGGTTTAAGTGGTTTTGCCTTTGAATGCAAAGTGAATCGTGTTTCTCTCCCCACTAATGGTGGATAAGCTGATGGCTAACATCACATCATTGGCACATAGTTCCCTGTTCCTGATTGCCAGTGGGGCCTATTTAATTATTATTTTTTAGATAAAAGAAAATGCCCAGCCCGTGCGCTCACATCTCTTCTTTCTAGGTCAGGCTGCGGCCTCTTCTGCCGTCGGAGGAAGTCTGTCTGGAGCTCCCTCAGGAAGCTGGTTTCATATGGTGGTTTAGATTTAACTACACGATGTCTAGCACCATTTGAAATCAGTGTTTTTGGGGGAAGGCTGGCTGCGCATTCGCCGGACGGGAAGCGACTCTGGTTTGGAGGCAAAGGAAGTGCAAGGCCTCCCGAAAAATCCTTCTGGGACAAACCTCGTCAGAAAAGGATTTGTCGCCTGCACAGACTCACACAGCACGGTAGCAATGTTGAGCAAAGGCCGTAGAGTTGGGGGTCCCAAGAGTTTTCTAGTCTAGCTCCCTGCAATGCAGAAATCACGGCTGAAGGACAGGTGACCATCTAACCATGGTTTGCTTTTTTAGCATAACCCATCAAAATGGTGTCCTCCTAGGGAACTGGTTAAAAAGAGAGATTGAGATGCTCAGATTATTGGAAAGCTGTGTTTAGTAAAGTTTTGAGGGGAGGCGGGAGAACAGAGCAAGGTTTGCTTGGTGAAGAATTAAGTGGGTTGTCAGACACTCAGAGTTTAGAGCCCATTTAGAATCCCGCTTCTGTGTGGGCCTTTTCTCCAGGACGTTCTCTTGATTTATTTAACAAAATCCATATACCGCCTGATTGCAGAAGCAGAAAACTTAAAGCAGTTTGCAAAAAGAGTAAAACAAGGCAGATCTTATGCACATTAGTAAGAGTCTTAATTTTTTTTGGTTTGCAAGTAAAAGCACACAGCCAGAGACAAATTGGAACGACGATTCAACAAAGCATGTGTAATAAGCAAAAAAGAGGTAGTTTTCAGAATGGCTACAGATAACGCAGGATATGCTGCAACGATTCAAAGGAAACTGAATTGGCTGGTGTAAAGAACACCTGCCATAGCTTTGTCAGTCACATCCAATATCCTATTAAGATGTGAAGGTGTTTAATTAGACTTACACAATGGAATCTTCGCTCGTTCAGCATCTGAACTGAACGTATGCTGTGTTGTTGTTGTTTTAACATATATATATATATACTTTCAATATTCCCAGCACATATTACATTACCATCAGCATCTACAGATTCCCGTAACCCCTTTAGAGGATGACTGATTTCTTCTGGTGTTCAGAGTCTATTTCTCTTTCTAGCACCATTTGAAATCGGTTATAGTGATTGGGGGAGAGCACCGTGCATAAGCCGATCCAAAGTTGCAACTGTATTTCAAATAAATTGTGTGCTTCGGTTGGTTGGAGAGCTGGAACTGCAAAAACCTGGGTTTGAAGGTCTGCTTCAAGGTCAAGAGACAGTGTCTGAAACTGGGATATGTCAGTTCTCATCTGTAAGGTGGGGGGGGGTAGGAGCAGTCTACCTCACAAGGCTGTTGTTGTGGACCAGTGCAATAAAGATTGCAGTGCAGTTTGCAAATCAACCGCAGCATAAATTGTACCTGCCGTTATTTTCCCTTTTGAAAGTTGCAAGCATGTGCAAAATCATCTTGTTACATGAAAGGAATCCATCATAATGTCAAGGAAGAACGTTGACTTGTGATCAGCCGAAAATCAAAGGATT